TACAGTTCCGGGTACGGTAGTCGGTTGCGGAGAGCGCTGCGGGACAGCGGAAACGACCTACAATAGGGAGTTTTCGTAGACCGCGCTGCCCCCTCCGCTAAGCGTTCCCCAACGAAGAAGTTGCTACTGCGCCTGCGCGCCGATAACCTTGACTGTGGTGTTCCCGCTATCGCAGCGGGTTGCGGAGGGCCTTGCGGGACGGCGAAAACGATCTACGAAAACTCCCTAATAACTCCCTAATGAGAAGGCTTTGCGAACGGGGCCGATAACGCTATCGCGTGGCACTCTTAAAGGGGCCCTGCAAGGACTTTTTTACTGGTTTTTATTTGCACCGATCCTGGGCGCACTGAACGTAGTAACTTATTGAAACTTTTCTTTTCTCGAAATTCGCTTTATTTTCAAAGTTATAGGCAAATTAAAATGACAAAACAAGCAAAAAATAACTTCCCTCGTGACGTCCTTGGTTGCTTCAGTGGCCGTGAACTAGAGGAGGGGTAGTGGGCTCATCGCGAGCGCTCATAGCTGCCGCACTCCGTGTCGACGGCGCGAGAGGGCGCCACTACAGCATATTCTGGATAGGCTGTATGCAGCGGGCAGCCAGAGCGGCTCTCATTGCATTGGCTGCGCGATTAAACACTAATTCGGCATGTCACTTCATTGGCCACAAACGACAAGAAACACGGGGTAAATATCAGTTTAGAATGGGAGCCACTTCGCGCTGCCATACCGCGAAACGGCCAAACCGTGAAGGCTTTCGGAACGCTCGGAGCCGATGGGTCCTTTTGTCCATACGACCGCTGCGCCGCCGTGTACATCCGAGACCTATCCGTGTCGGCGCCTGATCCCACTACTCCTTTCTTGTATGCGCCGCCTTTTCCACCGCTTAGTGGCGGGTATGTCGACGGGTCATTTCTCGTTTCCGTACTCTATAAACTTCATTCGTTTCTTCTCTTATCTAAAATATTGAACAAAAACTACTTTTTTACATAATCGAAACGGTTCGCGTCACTTATATTTTGTATTTGGACTAAAAAGAAGCTTTTAGCGACTCTGACCAGTAGTAGGCCCAGGACCGAAGACGTCACACTTTGCGCTCTTTCGGTACCACGGGTTGCCCTCGTCGGTAGAGGAGGTTTCCACCTCGTCCGGTTAAAATATGACGCACTGATATTTAGTTACTCTCTCCGTGCCCGCTAGCTTGTCCGAACCCCAAAAGACGTGGAAACCACAAAAAAGTTAAACGCTTAAATATGATTTCAGGGCCCCTTTAAAGGGGTAGCATAAACGGGCACTGAAGTCGATTCTGAGATCGCCCTATTCTCCGTTTCACCTTACGTCCGAGCGCAGCGGATGCTACGAGCCATCGGAGCCAATCTAACGCCGTGCGAATGTCACGTGACTTTGGAGAGGGGGCAAAGCGACGCGTGGAAAGCGTATCACGGGCTACGTACACAGAGCGGGATTGGATGGGATAGCTGGCAGCGTCCGCTGCGTCTGGACGTAAGTTGAAACGGGGTATAGACGCTCTAAGCATACGAACAAGCCCGAAATCAGCATCGCGCGTAAATTTTTTCCTCGTTAAAAGCGTGTTCAAAAATCACGACAAGCCCTTTTTGGGAAGAGCTTTCTTCCGAGTGAAGTGGTCGACGAAGGGCACTTGTCGGCGAGTTGCAAGCGAGGGCTTCGCCCGCGGAGAAAAAGAGGAGTCTTATCCGAATGTGTAGCTGTCAAACTCTCTTCGAAACGAGTTAAAATAAAATCATTCGGAATCTGCGCGTATTGTTGGGCTTTTATTGGTCTACACAGTGTAGTCCGAGAGAAGAGAGGGTCCACATGCTTTTCTCTTGCCCCGAGATGAATAGGCGGTTTTGTAACTTAGGACTGTGCAAATGTGTGAACTAACACAATTTAAACAATATAACATCAAAAACGACCTGCTCCAGAATTGACTTCAATGCCCCCTTTTAAAATCTCCCAAGTTTTTTTGTTTTTTTTTTTTTTTTTTTTTTATGTAAGTTAAAAGCTATTTCAGCTAATTTTTCTAGATCAGTCTGCGTGTACTATGTATAAAAATAATGACGGTGAAGAATGTTGTATTTGTTATTTGTTATAACTAAGGCCCTCGAAGTTGCGTCAACGCGATTTTGAGAAAATCTCTTTTCACCTCCTCTAAAGGGGTGTCCAAACAGGACACTACAAAACCCGCGACTCCGGCAAATCGTGCCGCGCTTTGCCGCGATCCGCTTCCGGCCGTCGGAGGGAAATTTCCCTCCGTCAATTCTTCCCGGGGGGAAACTTCCCTCCGTCAAATCTCCCCCTCGCTTCCTCCACGGCGGCCTTGCTCTGCTTATCACGTGGGTCCGGAGAGCCACTCACACGCTCTGTTGGCTGTCGGTCAATTGCTCAAGGCCTCCGCTCACAATACGGAACAGCATCGGACGCCATCACGACGAAAGTGAATCTCGACAAAGAAAGCAGATCCGAGGCGGGCGAAACGCACGCTTCGACGCAGGAATGTCCCAAATCCACCCGAAGCCGGACCTCCTTGGCCTTCGAGCCGAGGCGACGGCGGTACGCGAGGGCGTTGGCGAGGTGAGCCAGACGCAGGTGGCGTGTGACGTCAATCTCAAGAGGAGAGCAGTCGTGATCGTAAAAATTTTCGCGACTCCTGCAAACATTTTCACGACTCCAACAGACCGTAAAAATAGAAGCGTCCGCTTCGATTTTCACGATTTGTCGGAGTCGCGGGTTTTGTAGTGTCCTGTTTGGACACCCCTTGACACGCAATCTTTTTTTTTTTTTTTTTTTTTTTTTTTTTATTTGACGTTAATATTATATTTTGTGAAGTTATAACCCGTCCCGTTTTGTGGACATGTTTTGCGACCTCATACAAAAAAATTATTTGAAAACAGAAAATACAGGGTGTCACAAATGAAAATTTACACGGTCTTTTTTACCGCAAAAATAAACTAGGCATCGCCAAACGCTTATTCTCCGCCCAAAGGTAGAGCTAGAGGTCACAACCAGATGCCGAAGTTTCAGCCCGATCCGATAACTTAATCAAAATTTATAAGTGATTTTCTGAAAATTTCAATGGGAAAATGGAGCCCATTTTTGCCCGTTTTCGGTTTCTGGTGCCATAGAGCCCCATGTGTTTGAAAACTCCGTCGGCCACCATTTTCCCATTGAAATTTTCAGAAAATCACTTATAACTTTTGATAAAGTTATCGGATCGGGCTGAAACTTTGGCATCTGGTTGTGACCTCTAGCTCTACCTTTGGGCGGAGAATGAGCGTTCGGCGATGCTTAGTTTATTTTTGCGGTTAAAAAGACCGTGTAAATTTTCTTTTGTGACACCCTGTAGATTTGACACTCTGATGGCACTCCCCGAACCCGACCTCGGACTGTCAACCAATACCCAAGATTGTGATACACGTCAGTGGAGATGGAGTGGATAAGGTAAAGCGTCCACACCTCAAGTCGGGCTAATTAAGCCTATAGGGAGTCCACTCACAGCATTAAACTGTGGTGTACAAGCTAAATGTTGTATTCATTTTTTTTTTTCAATTTGGACAGATTTATATTTTAAGAACAGTGCGAGGTATACCAATGCGGCCTGTGTCTATGACTTATACGGCCAGGGGGACACAATAGAGGGTGCTGATCTTCGCAGAAAGTCGAATAATTAACAGAGATTTTGAATCACCTTGATAATTAGCGAAAATGATCATATGGTCCCAGTTCAAAACTCACTGCGAGCCATCTCAAACCAATATATCGGTCAATTTTTTTTTTTTTTTTTTTTCATTTGACGCCTGCGGTGAGCACGGGGCCGCTAAAGTTTCCAGTCGTGCAACAGTCACAACGCTGGCGGTTCGAAAAGGCGGTTGATATTCTTTTCATGCGCGTTTCCGTACTGCCAGACCGCTTTAATCTACCCGTCACGTATTTCTTTTTTTCTTCTCTTAAATAAATAGGTTCGAAATAAATTATCACCCTGTATAAAGCAGTTCTTCAACAATACAATGGATCACCTCTAATATTATTTCGTTCAAATGCGAATAATAAAAGCTGGTATTTTGTCAAGAACACTTTAGTTCATAAATTTTGATTTGCCAGATAGTACTGGGCCCTTTTTCCAGCTAGAAACTGAATAGCTGAAATTGGTACACTTGCTCCAGATTTTTGCGACTTGAGCGATTTCCACAGAGAAAGCGTTGGGCGGCGGCAGCTGACTTTTTTCGCCTGAAATAGTTCAAAGTAACTGCTAAAAAATTAATATCTATCAATGTCCACTTCACGAAACCGTGTTTTTTTTTTTTTTAATTGATGTAAAAAAAGGGCGATGGTTTGTTTTTTATCAAATAGAGAGCCAGCATTACAGAGTGCCCAACAGCTCGCTCGGGGTCACGTCGTTTACAAACCGCGTTTGCAATACGAGCTGCGAGCAGGTGAAGGAAGCGTCGATCGTCTGCAAACGACGTTCAGACCTTTACGCCTGTTTTTCTGTTCGCCACGTCACAACGCCGCGCATCAGCACTTGTGATGTAGCAAATAGAAAAAGCACGAAAAACGATAGCTCCCGATTACCTGCTGCTAACCGTACGCGTATGGCCCAAGGCAGTGAACAGGCGGCGCCTCAGTCGGTCGCGAGTGAGCACACCTAATGGCCAAAAGCGGCAACTTTGGGCGGGACATGCCACCAAAACGATTGGACGCGACTGCTGCGTCAGAGCTCGGCCGAGCACTCCGACGTTCGAGCTCGAGATCGTGTCCAATGACTGCGGCCGCGGGTCGTCTCAGAGTTGCGCGAATTCCACAGAAGATGGCGCCACCTATCAAAAGGCGCGACTGCGGGCCGACTCAGAAAACGTGGTTTACGTGCGTAGTTCCTATGGTGTCGGCGTACGAAAAAATGGTGGCGGTCGACGAACTTCCAATGGCAATGTACTGGGTCGCAAAATGACTGTCGTCTATCCCCGTGCTCCGGATTCGCTCACCGTTCTTATTTTCTTCGAGCCCAATCCAGAGATTTGACGGGGACAGTCGAATGTAGGGCAGAAGTCTGTCCAGCTGGTCCTGCGAGTGAAAGCTTACCAGGGTAGAATCTGCAAAGAGCCCCAATTGTGGATATGAAACTCCAGCACACTTTGCCCATCGCGCACGCTCATCTATAGTCACCGGTGAGAAGGCCAGAGAGGAGCTTCAGTTGCCCCGTCTCCAGGCACGCACTTCCTACTCGCTCAGAAATAAGGGGTGTAGTACTTACACCCCTGGTCCCCCCATATATAGCACCCCAAAAACTACAATTCGATGTTCAGCCAACTGACGTCGAACCGACGATACCAACTTTCACGAACGGCTTGATTTCCGACTGATACAGAAGAAGGTAAGGGCAGGAGGAGAAAACAGAGAGGTTAACCAAGGCGGCCTGCCTCGGTTGGCTACTCTGAGTTGGGGAAGGGGATGAGGGGATAAAAGAAGGAGGAAAGAAAAGTAGAGGAGGATAAAGGTAACACACTAGCACTCACGTTAACACTGTGAGGCCAGAATCAATAATTAATAATTTGCGATGTTAGTGCTGCCGAAACAAATGTTAAGTCGAGGCAGCTGCTACCTTCCGTTCCGTAGAAATACGTCGGGGTTCCGTCATTAATGGTAGATAAGTGGTAACCGTCGGCTAATTCTGCCAAGTGCCCTCCACGCAGGTTTGTCCGAATGCTCCCCCATGCTGCCTGTCAAATAAGGTCTTTGGTGGTATATATGCTGCGATTATTGTAAACTTCATTTTCCCATTTCAAATCGTCGCGCAAACATATTTGTTGGTCGGGTGGGTTGAAACGACGTGTGCGGTATATGTAAGATCTCTTCGAATGAACATTGTCACGCGACTTGCACTAGTAGTGCATGATGAGTCAAATTTTTCGTGCCGTGATAATTGAATGTCTTTAGGTAAGTTTGATTCACAGATTACAATGATGGGGAAGCTATATTTATAAACGAGTTGTCTGAAATCAAAAGGTCGTGATCGCAAACCTCTTGCGTTCCATTGTATGATAGAGGCTTTCTTGTAATGTTCATCCATTGTACTGACGTACGCTATTCGTGATAGCGGTGATCGCTAATGGGAATTATCAATCGCTCCATAGTAAGCAATGGAATGTTGTTTGCCCCAGGGTATTCTTGTATGATAGCTTGTAACGCCACAAATAACATGGGTAGGAGTACCTGCGCAAGATCTTTTTGTTTTCGTGGATGGTGTGACTGGTTTGACATTGGGTATGTTGCTGGTGTTCCAGCGGGAGGCGCTTGAGTTTTCCGAGATCGACGAGGTGCTGGTATGGGTGTTGGCATTGTCGCCCGCCCTGGATGCTCCTCCAAGGGAAGAAAGTCGTCCTCTTGTGTATTTCTTTGATCTTTTTGAACCTTGCGAGGACGCTTCAGGATCTCACTGTAGGTTTTCTTTGTAGGTGCTCCTCCGTTGGGATGTTCTGGTCGTGCTTGGCGGCAAACAACTTGTGGATTTGGTGACGGAGCTCGACGCCTTGTTTGCCTTCCGTTGATGATAGAGCGTTGTTTTGCAGCAGTGGCGGCCTTTTTTCGCGGACATCCGGAATATGTGGATGTATGGTTGCCGCTGCAGTTGGCACATTTTGGTTCTTTTCTGGAGCTACACTCCTTGTGGCTGTGTGGTCCTGCACACACCTTGCAACGACGCTCTCCTCTACATTTCCTGGCGAGATGTCCATAGCTTTGGCAGTTGAAGCACTGAACTGCCTGTCCAAAGTATTGTTCAACGGGATGGCTTGTGAATCCGAGGTAGATGCGCTGAGGCATGGCTCGGTCCGTCCGAAATGTGAGGACGACTGAAGTTGAAGGGTGTTGTTCCACAATTCCGTCGTCCTGGCGTCGGTAGGCCACTTGACGTTGAACAGACGTGACTCCAAAGTCTTTTAAATAATCCAAGAGTTCATCGTTGCTGTATTCGAGTGGCACATGTTTTACTTTTCCATAGTTCCTGGAATATGCCTCCGGAATATGAGCAGTTACCTGAATCTCTCCGAGAGAGGTGACTGCGAGAAGCTTGTTTGCCGAGTCCAGGGATGAAACATTTACGGAGAGATTGCCTTCTTTGTTGATTTTGTGCGAGACAATCTTTTCTTGTGTGACCGCTATGATCTCGTTGGCAAGCACGCTTGGGTTTACACGCCAGAAGGACGTGTTTGGTGTTGTCGGCTTGAAGACCACGGGAATTCCTGTTGCCCGGCTTTTTTGGTATGTCACGACTGTGTACGGTTCGTCATTGTCGGTCTCATTGGTTATGTCCCGCAATGAATATAATGAGGTGTTATCCTCGCCTTGGTCCCTCTCGACATCGGCGGTACGGATTCGTTTGGACGGGATGTTCTCGTCCGATACTGTTCCACTTATTTCTTGAACAACCAATTGAGGAGGGTGAAGCAGCGGGCGTCCATCCTCCTGTTGGCCATAGGAATTTATGTGGTCGCTTATGGCGTCCATCTTGTCAGACAGATTTGGCGTCAAACGCTTTCTGCTACTCACAGAAGAGGTTGGCCCTCCATTTGCGGTCGGCGGGCTGTCGCCGAGCAGAATTGTTGATGGTAGATGGTTTCCGTTCGAGATGAAAAATTGAATTAACTGGCCTAAAGCGTTTGGTTCTAGAAGGAGCGAAAAATCGAGCTTCTTGCTCTGAACACTTCTTCTTCTTTCCTAGCTAATGCACTGAATAAATTCATAGTTTTTGACTATGAATTCTGACTATGAATTTTGACTATAAATTTTGACTTTGAATTTTGACTATGAATGACTACGAATTTTGACTATGAATAAACTATGAATAAATTCATAGTTTATGAATTCATTCATGCACTGAATAAATTCATAGCTAATGCACTGAATAAAGACTACAGGAAAACACTCAAGGTTTCGTTAGCCCTGCTGCACAACCTCAGTGTTTTTATGTAATATTTGATACGCACGTTAGCTATTTACTAAGTTATGTCACACAGCTAAAGAACCGCCCGTAAAAGTTGGTATCGTGAGTTCAACGTCAGTGAACTGAACGTCAAATGTATAGTTTCGGGGTGTTTATATATAGGACAACAGGTGTAAATACTAGACCCTCAATTTCTGAGGGTGCACCTTCGGCAACACTTTGGCGTCTCGTGCTCCACGCGCCCGCCGCCAAAGCACGGCGGAAGGCGTGAAGCGCGTGCTGGAGGCGTTCGAAAATCACGCCCTGCCGTTCTCATTCTGTCAGCGACCAAAGTGTGCCTTGCCAGCTCTAGCCTCCCTCTTCTCGTCCCATCCCAGCCGTCTACTGAAAACTCTCAGCAATCTGTCTACTTTCCCGCCAAACACTCGGGAGAGCATATCGCTGCACATGGGCGTACCAACCCAGGGAAGGGGAGGGGGATGCAAGGGGGGCGTTTGGGCCCTCCCCCCAATTCTCAAAGTGTGTCTGTGTGTGTGTGGGGGTAAGGGGGGGGGGGCAGGCAAGACATGTGTTTTGCCCTCTGAAACAGCCGCCACTAGGCAGGGCAAACACTGGCCGGCAGCACCCAAGGGATGCCAAGGGTTTAGGGGTTAAAAGCGCTAAAAACGACGGACGAGTAGGAGAGACACACACCACAGAGCGCTACTTGCAACTGGTTTATCATTGGAAAAACCACACGTACCGCGAAACCAACAAGACACACATCCGATTCAGTTCCAACCGTCGCTAATCACAATTCTTACTCTTACACCATGCATGATCGTAAAAACGATAACTCTGATTCAAACAGGGTTATCGATGGGGCACTTACACACGTACCCTCGCCACACTCGGAAATAAAAAACGCTTCCGTTATCTTCCGTGTCTTTCTATTTTTGTTTCGTGCCAAGATGACGGTGTTGTCTAAATAGGGTAAACGCTCACACCTACTGCAATGCACTGCGAGATTGCCAGAGGGGGCTGACCTCAATGACAGGGCATGTTCCCTCAGTCTTTCGTTCACGCATCGCCCCGACTGCCCCACGTATACCCTCCCACAAGACAGAGGAATTCTGTACACTACCCCCACTCTGCATCCTACGTATTTTGTTGCTTGCTTTTTCTGACAAATATCCAACCGTGTGTCACCCCGTTCCACCCTCCCACATAGCTTGCTTAATTTCTCCTTTCAGCTCCACAGAAATTAAGCAAGCTATGTGGGAGGGTGGAACGGGGTGACACACGGTTGGATATTTGTCAGAAAAAGCACGCAACAAAATACGTAGGATGCAGAGTGGGCGTAGTGTACAGAATTCCTCTGTCTTGTGGGAGGGTATACGTGGGGCAGTCGGGGCGATGCGTGAACGAAAGACTGAGGGAACATGCCCTGTCATTGAGGTCAGCCCCCTCTGGCAATTTCGCAGTGCGTTGCAGTAGGTGTGAGCGTTTACCCTATTTAGACAACACCGTCATCTTGGCACGAAACAAAAATAGAAAGACAAGGGAGATAACGGAAGCGTTGTTTTATTTCCGAGTGTGACGAGGGTGCGTGTGTAAGTGCCCCATCGATAACCCTGTTTGAATCGGAGTTATCGTTTTTACGATCATGAATGGTGTAAGAGTAAGAAATGTGATAAGCGACGGTTGGAACTGAATCGGATGTGTGTCTTGTTGGTTTCGCGGTACGTGTGGTTTTTCCAATAATAAACCAGTTGCAAGTAGCGCTCTGTGGTGTGTGTCTCTCCTACTCGTCCGTCGTTTTTAGCACTTTTAACCCCTAAACATGTTCAACCAACTAGCCCAAATCCAAACCCTTCTGCGATGCCAAGGGCACCGCCCCCCGGCACTGAGGGGCGGGGGGGGGGGGGGGGCGGTCTCGTTCCATCCCCCCCCCCCCCCTCCGCTCCACACTCAGAAACTAGTTGGTACGCCACTATCGCTGCAGTCTACGGAAGAAAATCGGCCAAGTATGTGGCTAAAGACGTTTCTAGATCTTAAGAAACAAAACAAAATACAGTTTTTATTGTAACCCTGTGTATGAACTTTTACGCGATAATATCGTGGCCAATAGCACAACGGAACCCTTTTTTTTTCTCTCTTCTTTGGTTATGTACATATTTTTAGCCTCGACATTCACCGAGTTCCCTCCGTAGATGGCAGCTTTCCTCTGAAGGAACGTCCCGAAAAATAGACACATCAGATTTCTTAGAGTGAAATAGGTCGTTCTGTTCGTAGGTTCTATATAGTATGAATCTGCAAACATCTCACTATAGTCGGTGACAGTTCAATCACGAGGTGGTAGCTCCTTCCACATCTTTTCACTTTAGCGGAGCTAACACTGAAAATGGAGTCCCCTCCTCTCCGGCATTCGCTCTGCTAAAGTGGAAAAAGGAGGAAGGAGCTTCCACTGCCTTCTTAGCCTGGCACAGATTATAGTAGTTATTTTGCAGATCCATAAAATGTTTCATGCGAGTACGACGAATTCAGCCACTAATCGAAATGCGAAATCGAGTTGTGTCTCGCGCCGTTCATACAACTCAATTTTTTGGCAACCCCCCAAAAATTATGCCGAAATCCCTGCTGCAGCTACGGTGATTCTCGACGAACCGCGTTAGCATTGAGCGCAGGGTTTTGTTGTCTTCGAAAGGCCAGTCTGTTCTCCCGGGTGTCGGCGATTTCGGGTGCAGCCATTAAAGCTTTTCGAAGGGCGCGCCAATAGTGGCGCGTCACTGGAAGTGTGCGAGAAGACTCATTCCTCTTACGTAAGAGAACAAGAGGACGTAACCAGCAAACGAACTGAGCGAAAGAGCATGCAAGAACCACGGTGTGACATCATGAAATCGGTCCACCGACCAGTCCAGTCCAAACCGAACCAATAGCAGCTGCATGCACCAGGGCGATAAATGATAACGTATTTAATAATGCTTTCTTTTTTCGGGAGTGTAGTTTCTTATCTCTCTGCTATTACATATTTAACTACTAAACGTCCCTGATGGGTATGTCTTACTTCGTTCGTCGCAAGCTTCGACGGCTCCGAGGAAGTTCTCCACCCGGCTGCCGCTGAAGAAGTAGCAGTAGGGGTTACCGACGTCCACCCATCCCTTGGCAGTCTCGGGACAGACGCCCTCGTGATGCTCCACTGCGGGCGGCTTTTCTGGAATGAATTGTACGCACAAAGAGACATGTAGACTCAAACCCCGAAATATGTTAGTTAACATGTTTATTAACGGCTTAATTGGACATGGTGCAATTGCAGTTTTCAAAGGAGTCATTACTAAAGGCAAACACAATTTCGACAATTCGCGAAAAGGCAACGAGGTTCGCGAAATTTATCGTAAAAGTTTGCCTTTCTTCGCTTGATTCAGAAACCGCGTTATGAAAATAATACGTAGAATAGTGATTTAGTCGTCTTGATGTGTGGCGCCGGCGGGTCGACCGAAGACACGCTGTCGAGTTAGTGACGAGGGGACGGAAACAACTGTGTCATTCTTCTACGCATCAATATCAGCACAATCGCATTCACGCTTTCAGCGCGCAGTTTTTTAATTAAGCAAAGAAAGGCAAAATTTTAGCGATAAACATCTCAAGAAAGAACGAGCGGGTTGGTAGGGATAATTAAGCTTGAGGAAGAAAACGAGAAGGGACGGACAAACACAACAAAAACGAGCACCTTGTTGCTTTCGCTCAAAGCTCGATGTTTGTTCGTGAACTTTCTAAATTTGGTTGGCCTTTAATAATGGCTCCCTTCAAAGCTGCAATTGCAACATGGCCCATTAAACCGTTCATTAACCCCTTGCCTACCGCAAAAATTAAAGAAAAAAAATAGATTTCAAAAATGCCGATTTTTTTTTTTTTTTTTTTTATGTGCCCTATACTCTGTTTCACCTTGTGTTGAACCGAAGGAAAGGCTACAAGCGCGAGCTCCTTGCTCTGGGGCACATCTCGGCGGCACAAGCTCCCGTACACCAAGGGCAGCTGCCAACGCTATGAGCTCGCGTTTCTAGCATTCGCTGTGGTACAACATAAGGTGAAACGGAGTGTATAAAATCGGGGTACCGACATGTGCACCGCTCAAAGTGGAAAAAGAAAAGAAGGCGGGCTGCGCGATTTTTTTCCGGATAACTCGACTACAGCGTCGCCACGAACTGTCAATACACGCGCCCTCACGAGCTCCCGTTGCCGAGCCGCTCCGGTCCCCAACACTACCCAAGTATTCTAGTACACTGTATCAGTACTGCGCCAAATACTTTGCTCCGCTGTGCCGCCATGATCTTCCCAAGGGTTGCACTTTCCACGTGCCTCGTGCATCGATGCACTTAGCGCTACTTTCGAAACATGAAGGGGTTTCAGTTGGAATCGGAGACGACACCGCCACGGCTGCCGCGAGCATCCACATGCCCATGCGCGTAGACTGACGTGGACCTCCACTCCGTCAGGACTGAATTCGGCGCTGTAGGTGTTCTGTCTAATGCAAATGAGCGGAGTGTAATGTATTCCACATAGTAAAGTATTTGACTAGGCTGCCTCAATGTCCTTCTCTTTAGGGGGATGCCACCCTTTGTAGTACCCGATGCCGACAGCATGCGCTCATGGGTAAAATACAAACAAATCAACGGAAACAAAATGTCGCCATAGCACTGTTAGCGCCACCAACGCGTACAAAGACACGCTCTTTCACGAGCTTCTGAACAAAAAAAAAGAGAAAAATAAAAGTGTGGGACGAAATGGCCAAATGTCTCCACCCTAAGCCATGAAGGCACCCTTTGAGTGAAATGGACAACAGTGATAACTTCCCGCGAGTCAAATCGTGCCGCTTTGCACACAACGTAAGAGAGGTAAGGACTTAATTAAAGTTCTGATTTGATTTTTTTTTTTGGGGGGGGAGGGGGGGGGGGGGGTCTGGAAATTCGTTTAAACAACTATATCCCGAAGAAATATTCTTTTGTGTCAAGTGTTCTTTCAAATACCGTAGAGAACTTCTACCGCACTTAGAACGCTTGCCTGGAAGCACTAACAAGGAGCATTTGCAATAGCCATCAGTGCGAACCATCAGTTAAATAACTTATCTTCGATCCAGCACAACAACGATAGTATGAAGTAAATAATGTGCGATTTCGCAGTCATAAGCTGAACCGTCACATACACAGCTATATATACCAGTAGACTGTACCCGCCCCTAGCCAACCCCTAGCACCGGTAAAAGTAATCGCATTACGTGTATGGTTATAGAGCGGGCGTTAGTCAGTCAGCCCCAATGGGTGTCCATGGTGCTTCGACTGCACATGAGAAATGTCGCCAGTGCAGAACGATCGTTAGCCTGAGGTCTTCAACATGAACCGCGTAGCAGCGATACACGACCGCACGCCGGTACGATGCCCATCTACTTCAAAACAGGCAGGGGTCGGAAATGAAACACGGTGTAAAGTGTGAAACACATGTAAGCAAAAATAGCGTCGCATTTCACATCCGCGCGGTCTAATTTTAGGAACCACCAATGACAGCAAGGGCTGTCATGTTTACGCCGCTCAGTAAAGCCCCTCTATCCTGGGAAAGTGGCGCCATCCATTGTTGTGGAAATGCTCGGGACACGTGCCGCATTCCACTTCTGGGATGGAACATGGCGTCTGAGGATCACGGTGCTGAGGATATAGCTCAGTGCCGCCATGATCTCCCCAAGGGCTGCGCGTTGCTCATGTTTCTTGCATCGACGCATTTTGCGCTACTTTTAAAACATGAAGGGGGTTACCGCTCAGCAGTGCGAAGCGACGCGATTTTTGCTCACATGTGTTTCACGATTAAGATACTCTTACCCCGTGGGTTCAACCCAGGAGACCTAAAGCCCGTCTATCTTGGGAAAAATGGCACCATTTATTGTTGTAGAAGTGCACGAGACACGTGCCGCGCGACACTTCGAGAAAATTTATGGCGTCTGAAATCTAGCCAAGTGCTTCGCTGTGCCGTTATGATCTTCCCAAGGGCTGCACGTTGCACGTACGTCGTGCATCGACGCACCTTGCGCTACTTTTGAGAATACCTTGGTTCCGCAGCGCGAGCTTTCGCTTCACGTGCTCCGAGCAGTACTGCGCTGACGCACTCGGTCACTGATCCTTCCTCTCACTGGTACTCCAGTGCAAGGAATGAGCATCATACTCCCCTCATCCAAGCAAGTATTTGCTCGTAATGTTGACGTAGGCACAGGCATTTGCCGGCTCCGAGGTGAAGCTCACCGGAGGTGATTTTGCATAGGTAGGGCAGGGAAGTCTTGCAGGGCTGGACGCTCCACTGGCCGGTGGCCATATCTTGGGCGACGCAGCGTCGCTCGCCTCGCTCGGCAGCTCCAGGCTGCAGTGGCGCCCAGTTGGTGTGGTGCACGGGCCAACCGTCGGACCAGGTAAACCGGCCACTTCCCTGCCAGTGAAAGCACGTATGATCAAGTGAGGTGATTGGTGCCCACAGTACACGTCGGTAAGGACCTTGTCGTAATAAACACACAGAAAAAAAAAAAAACGAAAAAAAAACATACGCTTTTGTTTGTGACGAATTCAATTGAACACGATACGGACAAATGTTTCTCACGTGTTCACGTAAACCTAAAGGAAGAGAAACGACCCCCCATTTTACCACTCCAAATTCGTGACCATATATTGAAGGGGGATAAAATTCATCCTTGTTATTTAAAAAAACGCTGATTTGCGAGTGCGTCGTGAGACAATATACTATTGCCGCGCGCCAAGTAGGCAGCGCGGCCGTAGCCTAACGGTTATCGCGCTTGCCTCCCACGCGAAGGGCCAGGGTTCGATTCCTGGACGCGGCTACGCATTTTTGTTGACACTGTAATGTGATGTTCTGGTGAAATCGAGAACCGTCTAGCTGATTCGAGGTCAGAATTTTCTACGCGTCGAACCTTCTACGTCGAATGCTCCAGAAGCCAACGTGTGTACAAAAGCGGCTCCGCAGGCAAGCCGGACTCAGTTTCGCTTCAGCGTTCGACTCTGCTGCCACGCCGACTTCGACGCCCGCGACGCTCTATTATTATCTTTTGTACTCTTTTATTTTTGGCACAAGTTCGCCACATTAAACGTTTATTTCTTCCTGTTTATTTGTTATTTTTGGTCACCACCCGTGACATTTTGGTGGAGGTGCTGGGTAACGCATGCTCCTGCCGCGTACCCCTCCGAGGGACCGCAGTGCAAGTCCGACGCCAAGCCCACGAAGAACCAACGAAGGCACTACCGAGATCCGGTTCAGTCGTCGCACCCAAGGCCTACACCCGGAATTCGGACTTCTGCCGCCCAGGACCAAGCAGCCAACGAAGCCGACGATGGCCAACCAGTCGCCGACCCCCGCCGCTCCTGCCGTCGTCTACCTGCCCGCCGCCCCTCGTACGCCGACTTCCTTCCACGGCGAGATCCATGAGGATGTCGAAGACTGGATCAAGCACTACGAGCGTGTGGCGCGACACAACGGATGGACTGCGGAGCAGTGCCTCCAGAACCTCTACTTTTCGCTGGAGGGTACTGCGAGGCATTGCTTCGAGAATCACGAGGCTTCGCTTACGTCGTGGGACATCTGTGTGGCCGAGTTGCAGCAGACGTTCGCCACCCTACACCGACGGGAGAAGGCAGAAGATCTCCTCCGAATTCGAACGCAGGGCCCCGACGAAAGCGTCACAAGCTTCGTAGAAGATGTCCTCCGCCTGAGCGCCCGTGCCGACCCACGAGCTACAGACGACAAGAAGCTGCGGGTCCTCATGCGTGGGGTGAGAGACGACATCTGGCAGTTTGATACTTTAGACCCATGTTCCGGATAAAAAAAAACAGGACGCGGGATGGCCAAAAAAACCTGCTTTTCGTGCAAGGCTCGTCAAATTATGAGGCGCTGGAGAAATGCAGCCTTCTGCGTTAAGTCCTTATTTCGAACTCTTTTTGTTCGCCTTCCGCCCATTGAAAAGCATGCGGCAAGGGCCTTAGAACGCGCCTGGTATCGCTGCGCCGCAGCGTTCTTCCGCATCAAAAAGTTCGTCTGCTTTCCTCGCCGTCACCATGGCAACGAACGCCGAATGAATAGAAGCACGCACGGTACCGCCGCGTGAAGCTAGCAACAGCTGACGCCATTTTTACGAATGCCGTCTGCTAGCCAAAGCCGAACGCGGTGTGTCAGATCAACCGCCTCCGCCGGTGCGCCGCTAGCAAAGACGACGAAGCTGAGACACGCCGACGGCGATCGAGCAAGCAACAACACCGCGGGACGGCTGCAGCGGCGGCATTTATTCGGATCAAAGGCCGCCTTCGCCGGTGCGCCGCTAGCAAAGACAACGAAGCTGAGGCACGCCGACGGCGAATGGGCGAGCAACAGCACCGCGGGACGACTGCAACGGCGGCATTTATTGGGATCAAAGGCGCGAAATAAGCAAGAACAATTCTTATTTGAATCATAACACCCGATATCCAAGTTGGGGACCACATACCTTTGCTGGGTCTTTCCTGTGAACTTTTTACAGAGACAGGGGGTGCCGCATTCAAAACACAGCTCCGTTTGCAAAATATGGGGGCCCTGAAGAGGACCGTTGAGACCGCTACCAGAACCTATAACTCACGTAACGAGCACTTGACGAGCGGTTGGCGCATAAGTCGTCTTTACGCATGCAGGCGGGTGACGGGCTCAGCGCAGCGGATCCCTCGAAGTCACCGGGGCCGTCAGAATCCTCGCCCTGTCTGCGTCGGGGCTCTAGATTTTGGCGGCCGCGGCGACGAACGACTGGAATCTATCAGTGTTTCCGCGCCTTCTCTCTCCTCCAAAACATGAACTTTGCAAGGTGACCAGTGAAATGGTGGCTCTCGCGCCGTCCACGTGGAAGAGAGTTTTTGACGTGGGCCCAGGTGCCCTCCACCGTATTGGTGTGCGCACCAGTGTTCGGGTCGACAAAGTGCAGCTTGTGGTTAACGGTGAGGTGCGTGAAGCGAGCGTCATCTGCAAGCTTGCGATAGCCAGCCCAACAATCTGTGATTATTCTTGTTCCAGGGCGGACCCACTTGGCTATTAGCCCTTGCAGGGTTTTAGCGTCACGGGTCTCCACGGGAACAAAAAAGCAGCACCCGCTGCAACGCGCCACACCACCGAAAACCCACTGGCCAGGCCTTAAATACCTGCGATGGTACTTGTGCCGACCGATCATACTCTCGTCTAGTTCTACAGTCACGCCTTCGCCACCAATCATGTCTGAATGCTTACAGACGGCATTTACCACAACCTCCCGACAAAGGCTCGCCCAATCAGTTATTGTCTTACTTGCGATATCAGCCTCCCGCTGAATGACGGCGCACGGTAGGTTCTGGCATCCGGAGGATGATTTTCATGAGTTGGAGAAACGTGAGGTGCGTGCGATCCTTCGAAAAAGGAACCGCTCCGTACCGAGACCTCGCCCCGGCACTGAACCTTGACCGGCTTCCTCTTGGGCACCTCACGAGTCATCCACACACCGCAACCCCCCCCCCCCCCCCCCCCCCCGTGTAGCCATCCGCAGATCTAGCGCGGACTTGCAGCTTGTCATCGCAGCTTCGCACTTTGGACACGCACGAAAACCCAGGAGCCAGGAGCAGGCCAACGCGCTGAAGCAAATTAATTGCTTCAAGAGGGTCTTTCATGGCGCCAAGAAGACGGCACAAGTTGAACGCCATGGCACTGCGATGCTCGCCTCTTGAAGAATAAAGCGCCGAAGGGGAACTGCGCGCTTCTTTGCATTTATTATATTTATTTCATCCGCCATTTTATACCTCATGACACAATTCTAACAAACTCATTGGTTGATCTGTCGGACCACACCATCGCGTGACATAAAAAAAAAAAAGAAAAAAAGAAACGCCAAACGTATGTCCACGGACGGCATCGTCACAGAGAAGGGAGCAGTCGAACCCAACAACAAAATGAAGTAACAAAGTGAATAAAAATAAAAATAAAAAAATAAGAAGGGAGTCGTTGGAGTTTCGGACGGCGTCTTCTTTGATGAGAGGAGCTTCTCTGTCCAGAGCGGCTCGGAATGTTCCTTTTTTATTCTTTTTCTCACTCTACTGGGTGCCACGACCCTTATTTGAAGCTGATTTGTTAAAATAATAGCAAACAACGCGTTGGAACGGAGGAGGTAGAGAGTCTTGGCGTCAGAATTTGACGTGGTAGAAAAGAAAAGAAAATAACGAATGCACAATACATACCGTATGCCAAGACCGTTATACTCCGCACTTGGCGAGGCCTTATGACGCAGCCGACGACCGTTAGGCTATTTATTTTGTTTCTTTAGATTTTTTATCGTGACGACTACTCCACTGTGCCTCGGAGTCTCCAGCGGAGATCCGGCAGTTTTTAATTATTATTATTATTGTCGTTTGAAGGGTACTCTTTCTATGCTGCTTCGTTCCTGACGCCATAAAAATATGGGGCGGGATTACTTTGCACCACGTATAAAAAAATAAAAAAATGCATAAAGACGACTTATGCGCCAACCGCTCGTCAAGTGCTCGTTACGTCAGTTATAGGTTCTGGTAGCGGTCTCAACGGTCCTTTTCAGGGCCCCCATATTTTGCAAACGGAGCTGTGTTTTGAATGCGGCACCCCCTGTCTCTGTAAAAAGTTCACAGGAGAGACCCAGCAAAGGTATGTGGTCCCCAACTTGGATATCGGGTGTTATAATTTAAATAAAAATTGTTCTTGCTTATTTCGCGCCTTTGATCCCAATAAATGCCGCCGTTGCAGTCGTCCCGCGGTGCTGTTGCTCGCCCATTCGCCGTCGGCGTGCCTCAGCTTCGTCGTCTTTGCTAGCGGCGCACCGGCGGAGGCGGTTGATCTGACACACCGCGTTCGGATGTGGCTAGCAGACGGCGTTCGTAAAATGGCGTCAGCTGTTGCTGGCTTCACGCGGCGGTACCGTGCGTGCTTCTATTCATTCGGCGTTCGTTGCCATGGTGACGGCGAGGAAAGCAGACGAACTTTTTGATGCGGAAGAACGCTGCGGCGTAGCGATACCAGGTGCGTTCTAAGGCCCTTCCCGCATGCTTTTCAATGGGCGGAAGGCGAACAAAAAGAGTTCGAAATAAGGACTTAACGCAGAAGGCTGCATTTCTCCAGCGCCTCATAATTTGACGAGCCTTGCACGAAAAGCATGTTTTTAGACCGGAGTTTGGAGATAGTTTTTTTTACAACAACATGGGTCTAAAGTATCAATGTGCCCGACATCTTTGGAGGCCTCGTGCGCAACCCGCCGGGCACCGTCGAAGCCTTCGTCACCGAGGCGACAAACATCGAGCGCGCCCTCCAAGCGCGCGCTTCCCACTACCAGCGACATCCAAGTGTCGCTGCAACCGCGCTGCTTGGCGGTGAGAACGCTCCTGGTACGGACATCCGCGAAATTATCCGGG